TTTGATCAGTTATGTCTGACCACGTATAAAACACCAAGTGAGTACACGTGTGTATGCATTCATGTGACATATATTAAGTGGACATGTATGACGCATCTTTACATGGACAGGAATGTATTATATGGAGATACACGTTTATATGAAGAGGGAAGGAGAGCTGATACCTGGAATATATAACTTTGTAGTTTCAACATTCTTCCGTGTACAGTCCCGTGCGTCTGCATTTGTCATTGCCATTCATCTCCAGGAGGTCTTCGTCGCCTCACTGTCATCGGACGCGACCACAGCCTGTGTCCGAGCGTCCCCGTCTTCTCCGTCCTCTCACTCGGCTCTGCTCGCCTTCCCTTCCTGCCCTGCCCTGGCTCTGTGGAGCCCGTGTCTGTGGCCGCGGGCGGAGCTGCTCAGTCCCTGGCCAGGGCCGTGCGCCCCAGTCCCTCCGCGCTGCGCTGCGCTGCGCTCCGCTCGGGGACAGCTGGGTCCCCGCCGGAGGAGCAAGGCGTCCTGGACGCGGCGGCCCACGCGGCAGATACTTCTGGAGACTGGCAGTCGGAAACACGGTGGTGCAGGTTTCTTCCGGGCTTCTCCCGCCCGGAGGTCGGCGGCGCGCGTGTATCCAGGCGGTTTTTCCCGTGTGAGCTCCGGTCCTGACCTAGTCAGGTGTGATGAAGTCGCCAAGCCTGGTGCGCTCGGGCAGACCCTACTGACTCGACCCGAGCCGAATTCCACTGCAAGGAGCCAGCGTCTGCACGCACACACAACCTGAAGAGCGGGGCGCAGGAGTCCAGTAGATGGCCGGGGAGCACCGCTCGGCCATGCGCCTCCCTAAGTGTCTCGCAGCTGCCAACCCCGCCCTCCATCACTGTCTTCATTAGTGACGCAACTGCCGTTGTCTAAAAATAGCACAGTATGTTCTCTTTCATTTTTGAAGTTCCAGGTTCTTAAAATTATTATTATTTTTTAAATTTGGCACAGGGTGTCACTATGCAGCTCAGATTCGTAGTGATCCTCCTGTTTTCAGCCTCCCCAGCACGGGGTTCACAAGCCTGCGCCACCACGCCGGGACATGGTGGCCTGCTTGGTGCTCCCAGGGGCAAGGCTGGTGCAGCGTGTGGTGCTGGGGATCGAGTCTCCGTCCCTACACTTGCTGAGCAGAAGCTCAGTCTGTTGAGCTATCTCACTGCCCTCCTCTTTCATTTTTATGCATATTCTACAGGTACTTTCCTTGAAGTTTCCCTGGAAATTTTATATAACATCCTAGGTCATGGCAACAATTAAGTTAATCCTAACATCTTTCATCATGTGTGTACAAAAATTGCTCTTGTGATGCCTGCCTCACCACTTTATGGCGCTGATGCTATAATTTCATCTCTATGTTACACTTCTATTAATATGAATTTATAATAATTTCATGTATCCAG